TTGGGTTTACAGTGTTGTTTTAACAGCGATAAAGAAGAGGAAACCCAGCCTCAGCGAGTGGCTCTACTCGTCCTATACCTGCCAGAGAGGACTCCTGGCTCGCTGGTCTTCAGGTTCTTCCAGTCTTGATTTTCAATTTTCATGTCAAACTGCCTTTCGTCCTTGTTCGCGTCTAAAAGCTTGGCTTGCAGCTTAAGCTTTTCAGCATCCCCTTTGTAACCGGTGAGCTAGAACAAATAAAACCCGGATTCTGTGAAGAGGATAGGCAGCGAGTGAACGTACAACCCCTTGCTACTCCCTATCAAAGGCGGCGACAGTTAGCAAGAGTCAATCGAACACGGTAAACTCAAATCACATCCATAATTAAATATATATCTAATTTTCATTTTGACTTTGCCAAAACCCTTTTTTCTTTTTCAAATCGATACATAACAGTATGATGTTTGTTATAGTGTACCTTTACTTTGATGTTGATTCTTTGGCATCCTTTTTCTTGCGATTGGTAGTAAAATGGAACGAAACGGGTATTTTTCTCGATTGTTTCGACCCATGCCTTTTCCTTTTCGCTTTCCTCATAGGCACTCATAACAGCCCCTGTGCACGCTGATAAGAAAACATTGAATCAATTTAATTTCGAGAACTGCCCGATGCGAGTGCCCACGTGCGCACATTTATGTACTTAGTTTTGGTTATCACACAGTAGAAACACAAAGTGTATGGTGCATTCAGTGTAGTCGTATTGTATGCTCCCCGCTACTTACTCATATCTTCTAGTGTGGCACCGCCCGCGCGGTGCCATGTGGGTAACGTAGCGAGCGACGTCTTGATTCCGACTGCAGGTTGTCTGTCGAAGCTGAGAAAGTCGACTTCAGTTATCTGATTACGACCAATACGTGGAAACCGACAGGAAAAAGGCAATCTCACTTTCGGGATCTTGATTATGAACCTTGAGTCAACCATCATGACTCCGTGTCACCCAATTTGTCCAATTTTAGGAACAAAATTGCACCCGATCCGCTTGTGCTCGTAAAACGTTGCCTTTTTAGGAACATCTGTAAAATTTTCCTTTTACATGTAGAGTTTGTACTGCCTATGGAGCTTTAGTGCCGCGCCACGCTGTGCGGTAATTATTTTTCTGTTTGTAGTGTCAACCCTCTCTCTTTTCTCGTCTCCAGTGCGTCTAATCGAGCTTTTTTTGTGAAAACGTCTGCTTGACCTTGTGAGCGGACAGCGCGGGCAACGCGTCCCCCTGCAGTCTGGGCGGCGCATCATTTAATAGCGCCGTAAACTCGTCGAGCCTCCCTATCCCCCTCTTCCCTCACCCCGTGCGCCCCTTGACGAGACGGCCGGGTGCCTGAGCTCTGTTTACTGCCCGTGTGTCATATTATGGCGCCCTCGGGGCTGTGTTTCGCTCGGGGCGTGGCTCGCTGCGAGACACCATAGAGCATTGCAGCGTCAGGGGGAATACTATTCGAATTGCGCCAGCTAGTATTACAATTAGATCTTTTGCAGCCTTTCCGCGAGGATCATCAATGAGAAAGTCTAAAACGTTCCTGGACACGACATCCCATTTTACCACGCCATCCGGTCTTCGCTTCCCTCCCCCAGCTCCCCCCTTCTCGTCTCTCGCGGGACAGTTTACACGGAGCCTGCAGACCTACGGCCTCGGGGACTTGGCGTAGCTCGGAGCTCGGTGACCGGGGCAGACCCAAGCGTGCCTGAGAGGCGAGCCGTGGCGATCCCGCTGTCGTCAGTCGCCTGGGAGTCTCCTGGGAAATGGTGACTTAGATCTTAAATCTCGTTGTTCTCTTGCAAGCAGCGAGGCGCTAGCCCGAAGTCTTGCGGCTTACGCCTGAGAGTTTCTTTTATTTTTCTCGTGTATGGGGTTACGCTTGGTATCGCGAGGCCAACTTGTAATTCTAAATCAGTCCACCATTTCTCGCTTAAATTCATGGCCAACTCATAAATATTGTAGCTATTCTATATTTACTATAATTACTAAATTTACTATATAACTCGCTAGTACTCATTATCTTTGGCTAAGTTTTCGTCTTCCGTTTGGCCTTTTCGAACTGCCGAGAGGACGGGCTGTTAAACGTTATGGGCAGGGGCGTCGACAGGACGACTTTTCAGGGGGGGGCAA